CGCATTTTTTATCCCCTCGGCGTCGCACGACGGAAGGGCCCTGTCGGGACTTCCCCGTCAGACTGGGGGGGCCAACAGAGCGAGCGAGGGATCGAACTCGAACTACTGTACCTTGTTGTCCCGCGGGCTCGTAGGCGCGCGCAAGCTCGTCCAGCAGAAAAACTTTCCGCCGGAACTGGAATTTCAGTCGTTCGTTCTAAGGACTAGTCTTTACACAGCGGAATTGGTTTTATTCCCACAGCAAAAAAATAGAAATAAAGTTTGTTTGTTTTGTTTATTTCGTGCATGTCAGGGGGCGACGGGTTGAAGGCCCCAGTAAGGCTTCCTATACCTCCATCCGGAGTCCCCCTAGTTGCTTTACATTTCATCCCCCGCCCGTTTAATCGTCCGCATTTCGTTCATCGCGGCTCGAGTCTGCCGGTGGGCGACCCGATGAGGCTCGGCCCGGCTCGGATCTCGTATCGCGCCAACCTCCCTCCCATCTGCCTACACGGGACGCATGCGAAGCACAGCGAGCAATCACTGCCGGGAGCCCAACCTCCTTTGGGGGGTGGAGGGGTACACACAAAAAATAAAAATATTCGAAAGGAGAAGTAAAATTTTCAGGTGAAAGAGTACCCTGCGACGTACGATTTACTTTGATAGTTATTTCACATGTAATTCATTGATGACTGGTTAGCCTCACTGCTGCTTTGATCTAACATGAATTTCAAAAAATGCTAGCCTCACTCACTGTAATAATGTAAGCTTTGTTGCCTTTCTTTCCGTTGCAGTGTCCCGCTCATGCGCCACCGTAGGGAAGATGCTTAGCGCGTTGCACCCCAAGAACCACACGGTGCCCATCTACCGGCGGACGTTTCGCCTCTCCCGGTTCGAGATCCACGTCGACTTGTGGGTGTCGGAGCAACTGGCCCGTCGTCGCGGCGGCGGCAGCAGGCACGCCGAGGACGCCGAGGAGTGCGAGGTGCACGAGAACGCCGCGGCCACGGAGGTGGGCGGCGACGACCTCCCCCGGGGGGCCACCGCGTCGTTCAACTCCCGTCGCGGGTCCGCGGTCGCGGGCAATAGCCTCGTGCAGAGGGACGTGATCGTGGAGCCGCGACCCGTCGAGGACTCGGCCGAAGACGCACCCGCCGACGAGGCCACCGACGAGGCTGTCGTTGAGGACGCCGTAGTTGCCGAGGAGGTCGAGGCCGGCGACAGCAGAGCTGAGCAGCCCGTCGGCTGCGAGGCCGCCATCAACGCCGACGCCACGGAAGCCTCCGAGGCCACCGTTGAGGTCGTGACGGAGTGCGCGCCCGATGAGGACCCGAACGGCAACGCGCCGACCAAGTCCATGGAGACGGCTGTCTAGCTGTAGCACCCCCGGGACTTGAGCGGGACGCTCGCCGCACTCCCGCATCCCCGGGCGCACCGATGGCCAACGTCACGGCCAGCCCCATGTACCAGCAGCTGCCGCGTCCCCCGGGGCACTCAGGACCCGCCATGGGCAACGCGTCCACCGTGCTGGCGCTGCAGCACGGCCACTCGCACTACAACTGGAGCCGCCACCCGGACATGGACATCATCGAGGACGCCGGCGTGCAGGCCTTCTTCTTCATCTGCTACACCACCATCTTCGTGCTCGGCGTGTTCGGCAACGTGCTCGTCTGCTACGTGGTGGGCCGCAACCGCGCCATGCAGACCGTCACCAACTTCTTCATCACCAACCTGGCGCTGTCCGACATCCTGCTGTGCATCCTGGCCGTGCCCTTCACGCCGCTCTACTCCTTCCTGGGCCAGTGGATCTTCGGGCGCGTGCTCTGCCACCTCGTGGCCTACGCCCAGGGCACCAGCGTGTACATCTCGACGCTCACGCTCACGTCCATCGCCATCGACCGCTTCTTCGTCATCATCTACCCCTTCCATGTGAGTAGGCCGCTGCATTTGTCTTCATTAGCGCGGTGCCCGAGGCCGCGCCCGCCCCGCCTGATAGCCTCTCGGGCTCCGGCCTTGTTTGTGTTTGTCGTGCGGACGGTGGTGGCTGTGATGAGCAGCCGAGCAGCCCTTGTACGAGCGTGGCCAAGCTGCGCGGCAGGGCGCGCGGGCGTGGCGTGGCGTGGTGTAAATTAGGTTAACGCCGTTAAACACTCCCCTCCGAGGATCTCCATCGAGCCAGATACGCACGTTAAGATTGATAGATTGCCAAAATTTAACCCACATATTCCTACCACCGTCTCGTTGACCGGGGCTCGGGCGAGTGAGAACACAAAGGCAGAACGCTGCAGAACGGGATCAAAATGTTGTTTTTTTGGTTACTTTGGCGTCTAAGTCCCTACCTGGGAGGAGTGACTTTTGACTTTTAAGGTCAAAATTTCACCACTTTGACGTCATTTTTTTAACGTCATTTTGACTTTGGCGTCCTCGTTGAGGGGCCTGTGGCCCAGGCACCGTTCTCACAATGAAAGTATCGCACGGTTGCGCACTGACTGAGCGAATGTATCAAGCATTTTTTGGTGAGTACAGTTGAACGGTACTCACCGACGTTGAGTGATTGGAAGCTTGCAAACTGCCGAACTGAGCAGGGTGACTGGTGCACCATAACCTCTCTTTGGGCGTAACAACACGTCACATAGCAGGACACCCACAGCGCGCGTGGGCAGAGCCGGGGTAAATCCTCAGCCGCCCGGGAAGCAGGAAGTCAAAAGACTCACAGCTTTGAATCATTCTTCTTCATGTCACGAAGCACCTTTAAGAAACTTCACAAAAACGAACAACGAACGACAAACCACAAGTAAACAAACACTTCGGATAACGGCCACTAGGGTATGAGAAATTCGTAGTTCTCAGTTCTTTGCTCATTTTCAATGGAACTACGTAAATTTCTCATGCCGCAAGGGCGCGCAAAACTGCTGGTGGTTGGGATTTACCGAAATATCCTGGAGGGCGATCGGAGAGCTCCCTGAAAAAAAAACCGGAAACGCCTTCCTTCTAAATCGACTGAAACAGGGGGAGGGGGAGGACGGAAGTGGAGCGTTCTCAGGGAGCTCTCCGATCGCCCTCCTGTATGGGGAGCTGGGGCACTAAGAACGTCATAGCCCGCGCTGTTATCCTGTTTAAGCAGACTAGCTAGTGATTGAAACAAAAAGGTGGGGGACTCTACTCCGAAAGGTGTAATCAACGGTACTCACGCGTACCGTTTTGGCCGATGCGTGGGCTTGTTGTATTATCCGGGCAGGACAATTATTAAAATCGACATCAATAATAAAAAAAAGAATAACAAGAAAGTAAAGTGTCGGGCTGATAATCACTTTGATTGTTACGCGCTGAGAGACAAGAGATTATTATTTCCCAGCAATACGCAGGGGCGGGAGAAGCGGCGCGCACACTCTCACACACATGCACACCCCCCCCCCTCTCCATACTGGCCTGCCCCGGGCGTGTGGGTAATAGAATGGCTAATGGGAGAGTCCCCGGACGGCGGCGGTAGCATGCTGGGACCCCCACCCACCCCCTTTGTGCCCGCTCGGACCACGCAGGTGTCATTATTCAGAAAGATTAAGCACGTGGAAAATAATGTCTTATTGCTCTGCCGTTATGTGTTGGTGGAAAAAAAATGTGCTTCGATACCGCCGACGTTTTGCTCAACATTTTCCTAAAGTTGACGAAAGAAAAAGACTTAAAAACCCTTTAAAAACAAAGAAGCAATCAGGAATCAAGGAACGAATCAATAGCAAAGACTTCCAAGTACAACTCGTTTTTGTTTTGATTGCAGCCACGCATGCAGCTGACCACGTGCGTGGTCATCATCTCGTCCATCTGGCTGTTCTCCGTGTTCGTCACGCTCCCCTATGGACTCTACATGAACCACAAGGACGTGGACGGCCGCTTCTACTGCGAGGAGACCTGGCCCTCGGAAAACTTTCGGCAGGTGAGAGGAGAGCTAACACCATACCGACGCACGGTCACGTCCCCCGCAGTCTGCATCGTCCTCTGCGACACAAATAACGCCTCCCTCCTCCCCTCCCACTTCTTACTCTTTCCTTCGACGTAAAACATCAGCCACATCTCGGGCTCGGGCTCGGGCTCCTCATGCGAGTTTTCTTCTTCTCCGTTCTCAGTCACAGATTACATTACACGATAAAGTATAAAATTCCCCACGCGCTGCTTCACGACTGCTCTAGCCGATCAGAAAACTTTTCGAATCATCCCCGAGAGAGGCCAAGCTTCATCCACAAGCTGGTCAAAAGGGGCTCTGAGCCCCCTCCCCCCGCACCCCCCACCCTAGGGCAGATTTACCCTCCTTTCATGTTCGTGGACGCCCCGAGCAATGCGCGCCGCAGTCGGTCCGGGCCGCGACGCGCGACATTCCCCCTCTTTGCCCGAATCATTATGCACCACTCCGCGTCCCCGTCCCAAACTTGCTGCTGCGAACTGACGGAACACGGCCTCGAACGGCGAGGAGGGCGGCGAGTAGTCGTCGTGGTCCTCTAAATGGACTGTCAGCGCGCCGACCAGGCCGTCCCGCGCGCGCTGTTGTTCTCTCCGGGAGTGAGGGAGCAGCTGGACCATAACGGGAGATAGAGACGGGCCCTGGACAGCCACCCCGCACCGCCGCGACCCCAGCCAGGCGGCCACCCCCCCTGCCCCCGCCCCC